CATGCTAGACACAGCAGGCAAAATGATGGAGAGTCTGCTCAAAATACGCTTGACGTCAGCCATAGAAAGCGAGGGAGGCCTTTCACCCCGACAACATGGCTTCAGGAAGGGACACTCAACTATAAGAGCAATTGGCGAAGTAGTCGAGGCGGTACATAAGGCCGAATAAGCCTGCCACCAGGCGCGGCCAATAGTGCTGCTAGTCACACTGAACGTCAAGAACGCCTTCAACTCGGCAAGATGGGACGACATGCTGGAGGCCTTGGAACGGTCATTCAAGGTTCCAACATACTTGCTAGATATGATCCGGGTCTACCTCAGAGACCTTTGGCTTTTGTATGACACAACACAAGGTCAGAGAAAGAGACGTATAACCGGAGGAGCGGCACAGGGGTCTGTACTTGGCCCGGACCTCTGGAACGCCACGTATGACAGTCTGTTGCGCACGGAAATGCAGGAGAGCGCCTTCATTGTCGCCTTCGCGGACGACGTGGCCTCCGTCATAACAGCAAGAAATGTCCAGCTAGCGCAGCTCAAGCTAAACCAGGTCATGCGCAACGTCAGTCGATGGATGAACGATCACGGTCTGGAATTGGCTACAGCCAAAACGGAGATCGTGCTCCTCACCAGGAAACGGATCCCAACAATTATAACTATGATGGTCGGACCTCAACTCGTGACGACTTCTAGGTCTACGAAATATCTAGGGGTGAAGCTTGACAGCAAACTCACATTCTGGGAACACATCCATGGAGTATGTGAAAAAGCTGCGCAGAGCACGGCGGCTCTAAGCCGGCTGATGGCGAACGTGGGCGTCCCGAAGCCATGCCGCAGGAAGCTTCTGATGACAGCGGTTCAATCTGTGCTCCTGTACGGGGCAGAAATATGAGCTGACGCATTGAAGGTCAAAAAATACCGGATTCAAATGTCTTCGGTACAGCGCAGAGGGGCACTACGCATTGCTTCTGCATACTGTACAGTGTCCGCGGACGCGGTTCTAGTTATTTCTGGCGTCATGCCTCCATTGGCCCATAGGCAAACATGCGCCAAAAATAGGTCTACCCCATAATATGATTTGCCGCAGCTGTCAACTAGAAGATAGCGAAGAAAGTGTCCAGCATTTCCTGTGTAAATGTCCAGGCCTTTCGAACATTAGACACAAGACATTAGGGAAACATCTAGTAGCACAACTAACCGACCTATCAGGAGCTACCATTAGCGAAATCGGCAGATTCATTAGAGAATCGAAATGGGTCGACCTAGCAACATAGGAAGTGCATAGAAAAAATATTAATCCCCCACGAGAAGTGCATCAAAATGGCGCAATAATGCACTAATTGTGTCCTGGGCAGAGACTAGGAAGCACTGCAACCAACCAACAAAAGATTTTTACAAATGTCTTATCCACTAGTTTGTTAGTTTTATAAAGAAAATAATTTTTGCACCGAGGTCCACTTTCCTATGCAACCTCCCATATGTACATATATCAAACATAAATAAAAATTCCAAAACACTTATCCGTGATAATGCCAATATCAGACCAGTAGTGGGATTCGCCATTCTATTTTAACGATTATCGAATCGTTAAGAAAACTTAACGACGATTTTAACGATTTGACAATTCGCTAAACATATTTTAACGATATTCGCTATCGCTTGATCAGCTGTTGTCGTTAACTACTCGATTACTCGTTAAGTAAACGACGAATATTTTGAAGTTGTTAGCGGCATCGACAAAAGAAAATTTGATATTTCATTTGAGTTAAAATAAAATAATATAGATCGCGAATTTACTTAAGTAATATATAAAAGAAAAACTTTTTGTTAAAAATGGCATTTGAGTATTTGGCATACGTTTTATCCCAAGATGAGGAGATAATAAGCTCTTCATCAGTGGATAGACGTTTGCTTCGAGAAGTGGACAACCCTTTCCACTTGGCTGCAACTGAGTTTCGTAACCTTTACCGATTAACCCCAGACTTGGTTGATGATATTGTTTCCCAGCTTGATAGCCAATTAAGGGGTGGAAGAATAACTGCGATAACGACAGAGAAACAGGTAAATAATGTAATTTTCAAGTATTTTTCAATTTTAAATGATTTTGTAAATTTTAAAGGTTCTAACTGCCTTGCGATTCTTCGCAACTGGCTTTTATCAACGTCCAGTCGGAGAGCAATGGGGGATATCCATGAGCCAGTCGTCCGTAAGTCGCTGTATACGTCGCGTAACGGATGCAATAAACCGCACCATGTTTTTGGCAAAGGTTAGGTTTCCAATGACCCAAATAGAGCGGCAAGCTGCAAAAGAAATTTTCGCCTCAGCATCCGCACCATTTGTAGGAGGTACTATTGGGGCTATCGATTGCACTCATGTGTCAATCATGAGCCCAAAGCATCATGAAGAAGCGTATGTCAACCACCATGGATACCATTCTATCAATGTGCAAATGGTAAGAGTAAAATTTGCTCAAGGGTTAAACTACTGAGTATTAATTTTATTTTATACAAATATAGATATGTGATCCAAATCTAAAGATTTTGGCTGTCAATGCTAAATACCCAGGAGCGCGACACGATTCATTTATTTGGAGCTCCTCTGCAGTCCGGAGAGTTATGCAGCGAAGTTTTGAAAATGGAAACCATAACGTGTTTTTGATTGGTAACTTTTTAAATCCACTGAAACTTATTTATTAAAATCAATTTAATTGAAAATGTCCAATATATATTTGCAGGTGACTCAGGATATCCTTTGGAGCCGTGGTTGATGACTCCTCTACCAAACCAACCAGAAGGGAGTCCTAAATTCCGCTACAATGAGGCATTGTGCAAAGCTCGAAACCCAGTCGAGAGACTTTTTGGCGTTCTCAAAGGAACTTGGCGATGCTTATCTCAGCAAAGGACTCTTTTGTATGATCCTGGATTTACTGGAAAAGTAGTAAATGCTTGCACAGTGTTGCATAACTTGCGATTGGGTGACCAAACATACGATCCCGAGACTGAGTTCCTAGAGCCAAGGACACATAGCAGTAATGTAAATCAAGACGCGCCGTCTTCAACAGCAAAACGCGTCCAAGACCGGCTAATTGCAAATTATTTTACATGAATAAAACGTTGATTAACAAAAATTCAGAAGGAGTACAATAAAATTATTTTGGCATTTTATTAAACATTTTTATGTACATAAATAAAAACTCAGTCTTATTTTGTCTTTAATTTGAGTAAATTTTTTTTAAGTCTAGAATTATATATATAAATATTCATTAAATATAGGGTCCATCAAAAGACAGATCTCAGTATGTAATCACAGATCAGTTTCTATAATATGATATGGTGTGGCACGTTCAAGTTACAGGCGCATCACAAAATTAAAACAAAAATTCACAAAATTAAATTTCATTACTTATTGTATATAAGAAATATATGTGGTATATCTTACATGCAGTAAGTACAGTATACCTCTCTATCAACTAAATTTGTAAACATTGAATTCATTTGAAAATCAAAAGAACTTCAAATAACTCGCTTATTAAAAACAAATAAAGATCAATTCAAATATGTAAAAATTCATCTTTGAATATCTTTAAAAGTTATTCTAAATGTAAAAAGTTACCTTCATGATATGTCGAATTAAAACTTAACTCTAACATAAATACAAAAAAAAGGAACTTCATGCTCTATCAAATGAAAACTTAACTCTAACATAAATATAAAAACAAAAAAGAACTTCAACTTATATTTAAAACGCTTAAAACTAATATAAATATTAAAACAAAAAATACTTCAAAAACTACATATTTACACAATATTTACATGCGGTAGATAGCGTTTCTTAAATTATTAAAGGCATCCGCACATGCCTTTAAACCTTCCCCCATTGTGGTCATAGCTTCGGCCAACGATTTCGCTACCTGCACACTCGCCGTACTTGTTTCAGCTAACAACTGTTGAAAGGGCATACGAATGTAATACTATTTTTTAGTATATACAAAAAATTACCTTCAAAGCTTCTGCTTGTCTACTTGCTATTTGTACATTCGCTGCACTCGACTCTGCTAGCATCTGTTGAAAAAGAACCGAAAAAACTATGTCATGATATTTTACTTATGTAAAGTTACAAATAAGTAAATTACTTTTAAGGCATTTGCTTGGGTCTGAGCGATTTCCAAAAACGATTTTTGGGCCTCGGTACCACCGTCCACACGCCTTCTTTTGGCTCCTCTACGTGGCGTTTTTCCTGCAGGAGTTACAGGAGTCGATGTGCACATCTCAATGCTCACTTCGTGAGAAATAGATGGCATCTCGATGATTACACTTTCATCACCCTCTTCCATACGCAGTTGGAGTTCCTAATGATGAGAAGAATTGTTAACTGCTGTGCTATTCATAACTATTTATTTGCTTTTTACCTCTTCCACTGGCACACTTTCAGCAACAGTTTCATGGCCCTGCACATAGTCGCTACCGACAAGAGCAATCACACGCCTCTCAAGCTCAGTGGGTGGCTCTTCATTAATGGGATTGTTTCCCGTCATTGCCTGCTTTCGTTTCCTATCACGCACCTTAATGCTAGTACGGCTCTTCAAATCCCTCCATACCTATTTGCAAAACAAAATTTTAAACGTGGTATTAAATTACTAAACAACTTTTACATACTGTGCGCCATTGGTCGACGTTCTTCACCGAACCACCAAGGCTATTCAGCATTGACGCTAGTTCACTCCACTTCTTGTCGCAGTCCGATTTTCCATGAAGCTTCTGGAACCTTGATCCTGCCAATCCCGGCGTTTCCGTCAAAAAGTCCACCATGCGACTTAGTTGTTCTGCTGTGGTCCGGCTTCTCTTTTGAATATTGGGTACTGACGAAGCCATTCTATAATATGCGAAAATGGTTATGTCTAATAATACAAAATAAATAAACGTTTTATTTTACTTACTTTTTGTAAAAGTATATTAAAATATTCAGAAATCTATGTGTATACCACTTTGCAAGCAAAGAATTTATTTGTTTTTCGTCATTCTTCTTTGTGCTTTTCGCATTTTTTGACGTTTCGTTAAGCTGTGATGCCACCTTTCTTGTATTGAAATAAAAAGAAAATGTCAGCTGTTTAGTGTCGTTAAAAAAGAGTTACCGAATAACACAATCGTTACTGCAAACCACAAAAATCGTTATATTAGACCTCGACAAATCGTATCGTTAAAAGTTAGTGAATTGCACTACAGGTGCAGATCAAAAACAGACATTAAGGCATGAAAAAGAAAAATGGGATACGAAATGCATAATGATAATAATATAATAGATTGGCGCTTACACATATGTTAGTGTTTGGCGAGCTTATCCTCCGATTTGTGGCGTGCGCCTTGATGTCACACAAAGCGGAGGGACCTACAGTTTTACGCCGACTCCGAACGGCGATTGTATTTTTATGGGAAGCTGTTTTTCATAGCAGAAATACACTCGGAGGTTTGCCATTGCCTGCCGAGGGACGACCGCTGTTAAGAAAATACCTTTTTTCTATATTTTTTGCGATGTTGCTTTGACCAGAGATTGTACACGGTTAAAAATTTCGGTTTTAATTTTAAACTTTTTGGACTACATATATGACCAAACTAAATTCAGTTTCAAATACAAACCTTCCAAGTTTAAAAAAAAGAGAGCACATATGTTGGGTTTAGAATTTAAACAATTCGGTTTAAATGTTAAACCCAAACATTCTCATAATTAAGAAAAAAAAATAACAATCTTAAATTTCATGCTCCGCCTGGTTGGGATTGAACCTGGACAGCCTTGGTAGCAACCAATTGTATCAAGCATCTTTGCACACTCAGCTACAGCCACGCATGTAAATGTGCTTTCATATGTTGAGTTTGAATCAACACCACAGTTCGCTGTGCAAACATATTCTATTTCGGTTTAGATTTTAAACCAAATTTTCTATATTTGAAACCTAGAAACTAGAATTAAAACATTTTGGTTTGATTTTTAAACCACGAACTTTTTGGGCTAAAATTTAAACCAGAATATATTAAAAATTGCGTAAAACTATTGACTGGTTTAAAAAGTAGACTATAAAAGTTTAAAAAAGGCAGTAGTCCTAGCGCGGTTTAAAAATTAAACCCAAATTTTTGACCGTGTACCCAGGCGTTGCGGAGTGGAAGCACGCACTGCTTACTACTACACCACAGCGGCCGAAATGCATAATACAATTTAAAAATATATTGTTAAAATAAGAATAAAAATGATAAGCAGATATGAGGCAGATGGTAGCGGATTGCTAGCAATTTCATAGCTGATACAAAACAGATCATTACTAGATAAAGTGCAGATCAATACCAGATCACAAGCAGATCAAGATCAGATCAGAAGCAAATCAGTTTGAGATATAAAAAAGGTAAAAATTGTAAACAAAATAAATAATAAACTTTCAAAACTACAACAAAATTAAATACGTATATAGAAATATTAAATTCAATGTCAGAAAACAGATTGGATATATATGTCGAAGATGCATTAAAAACTAAAAATAACATAGTCATCTGAGGAAATAAATAAAAATGAAAATTCGCCAAGCTTATAATTTTGTAAAAATTGTGTATACATTCAATTGTATCTGTGTATGCATTTGTAACTGGAAAATAATATCTATCTTTAAACATTTTGTTTTTAATAAAATATATCTATGCTCTAATCGAAATAAGAAATATAAGGTAGACATTTACAAAAAAAATTAAAAAATTGTTTTCAGTTTTAAATACTTATTTACCAACATTTTCAACGGTTGGGTTTATGGCAAATCAAGTAAATACAGTACATACATATGTATGTGTATCGTTATCTAAAGGTGAAAAGGTAACAAGTCTTCTTTTTTGAAATTGTTCAGGAGAGGCGAAAAACAGATGTAGTTCCGCATTATCTGTCATTCTGCATCAAAAAATAAATTTGTGGACTTGGCACCTTTTCACATTTAGGTAGCAATATATTACAATGCAATTCCATAATATAACCACAATAAATGATGTTGGTTGGTGAAAACCATGAACTAGATTTTATGCATTTTTATGTAAAATTGTGTAAATAATGTTCATTTGAAATAAAATAACTTACCAATGTCTACATATGTATGTATACATCTCCCTTAATAAGCTCTTTATTATTCTTTTCTTTTTCGTTGTCAAAAAGAAGTTGCGAACAACTTTCTTTCTTAATCAAGCTAGTGTTTTCTT